TTGGAAGGCTGAGGTGGAAGGTTTTCCGGAGCCCAGCAGGTTAAGGCTGCAGTGGCCGGGAGTGGCCACTGCACTCCAGTCTGGGTGACAGAGTGAGACTCCAACTCAAAAAAAAAAAAAAGAGACAACTGAGGCCCAGGAAATGGAAAGGATTTGTCCAAAGTCACACAGCTAATTAGTAGCAGAACAAGGATTGAACCAGGGTCTGACCTTCTCCAGCTCCCATCAAATTCTACAGATCTGTAATTCAGGCTCTCTTGTCCTCCTCCCTATACCTCACAACCTGAGACCCACCAACTACCCCCAAGCCGTGTCCTGGCCAGCGGCAGAGGCCACCTCTGCTGTAGCCCACAGTTGATCTTGTGGCTCCAAATCCAGAGCTAGAAGGTAGCAAAAGTCCCCAGTAGAGAGGCATCTCTTAATACTACATTTGCCCACAGAACCCCAAGTTCCCTATGATTTGTTTTTGTTTTGTTTTTGGTGGAGAGGTGGATGGAGAAGACCTGAGCACCTAGCTGCACACTGTGTACCATAACCCCCAGGGTCAGCTTGGCCAAGAGGGTGTGACCCTTTGCTTAAGATGAAAGTTCCCTCTCTCCTGCCTCCCTAGTCTATAAGCTCTGTGCAGGCAGATCCGTATCTGTTTATCATTATATGTCCAGGGCCGAGAACACAGTAGGCTTCAACAAATATCTGCTGACTTGAAAATGCACAGGGCTGGGGCATTACCCATGATTCCCAATAACCTGCCTGGTCAGGCTCTGCTCTCATCACCCCTGAGATTCTTGGGAAGGAGAAGGAACTTCCCTCCCCATGCCCAAAGCCCCTGCTGCTCTCAAGTACTGATCTGGGCAGTGCTAGTACAGCTACAAGTCACAGCTTACACTCCAAACACTATCTAGACCCAGCATCAAGGAACAGTGGCAAGCACCCAGAAAACACTCAAAACATGTTGGAAAAAAACAAGTCTCCATCCTAGGTCAGAAGGGGACCTCAAAGCCACCATGTACATTCTCCTGACTTTCACCTCTTTTGGTGAAAAGTCCCCTAGTCTTTGTAGCATCCACCAGTAACATTCAGGTATAGCTGGCTGGTACACTGGGAAGGGTTAGGTCAGGTTGGGCCCAAGTCTCTCCTGCTGTATAGGATAAAGAGCAAACTTTCAGCACTGCCTCTGTCATGTGGTCTTGCCTCATGTTCCATTTTCCCCATTGTCAATGCTTAGGTTTCAGCCTTGCCAAATTCAGTGCAATTGAGCCACATCCTCTTTTGCCTGCTGACCTTCGCCTAGTCTAGTTTCTCTAGAACACCATTCCCCTGCTTCTACTCCCACTGTTGTGTGGCTGACACCATATCCTTCTGCCCTCCTCCTCCTCCAGACGGTGTTCCCTGGCTACCCCTGTCTGCCCACATTGGGGCAGGAGTCCTTGTCTGTGCCTCTCTCTCTGGCACCCACTGAGGTCAAAAACACAACCCAGGCAGAAGTCAAGACAGGACAGTGGCACCACACCTGAGACCTATATTGCACCAGAGGGGAGATAGGCAGGCAGTTAGGAGAACAGAGTCCCTGAAGGCATGGGCCAGAAAGCGGCTTCCCAAGGACTTCCCAAGAAGTCCAGCTCTAGCCAGCCTCTCAGCCTGTACAGTCTCCCTACCCCTGGAGTTAGCACCAACAGCTGTCTTAGGAGAAGACAGAGTCTCAAGAGACAGTCCAGAGCAGGCAAATGACAGCTTTTGCCTCCATCTAGCAGGTTAGACTCTAAAAATACCTCTCACCCCCTCTTGCCCCACACCATCAGCCAAATCCAGAGAGCTTTCCTGGCCCCATGAAACATCACACAGTACCCTGGAGAATTTAGAGAGGAGTCGACAACAGCTCCTGCCTGGGGAGGAGGAAGGCATTTAAGGCAAGCTGAGAGCAGTGACATGAAGCATGTCCATCATTTCTGAAGATGTGCCACCAGCACACCAGCAATGTGCTGGGAGCCTGACATGTACCATCTCATTTAGTCCTCACAACAGCCCTGTGAGATAGGTATTGCCCCCATCTTGCAAAAAACAAAGCTGAGGTACAGCAAGGTTAGGTGGCTTCTCCAGAGTCTAAGGGAGGAGTGCCACTCTAGCTCAGGGTGTTTCAAACCTATGGCAGAGGTGCTGGGCACTGGGGAAATTGAGGAAGCTTAGACTCTGAGCCTCTGTGAGGAGCTCATGGGGACGGCCATGCTTTTCTGGATCTTGGGACCTCCATAACTAGGTGAACAGACAGCTAGCATTCCTATTGGACAGATGAAAAACTGGAGCTCCGAGGAGGCAGGATGTGCCCAGTCAAGCTACTGAGGACTGAGTCCCAGGCCTTCTGATCCAGCGCAGCATGCGTTCTTCCACTCAAGCCAGCTCCCAAGTGCCCGGTAGGAGCCATGTTCCTGGAGCTGGGCTCTCCAAGCATTCCTGTTTTGGCTCTACATCTCCATGAGCAGAGGGAGCTCAGACCTGACAGGCTCTCTGGACTGAGGAGAGGGGAGGGGAGGAAAAGGGAGGGGAGGGGAGGAAAAGGGAGGGGAGGGGAGGGAAGTGCCCGAGCCCAGGCTGAGAGGATGGTCTGAGATCCACTCTTGGCTCCTTACCCACGGGTAGGCGGCACATTACTGGGAAAACGCTTCCAGGGCTGGGAGAAAGGGTGGATTCTGTCATCAGGAGGAGGTTCCTTCAGGAGTGGTGGCTCAGGGACAGGAGAGCAGCCTGTTCTGGCTTGTCCCTCTCCCAAGGCCCTGAGTAACTGTCCCCATGCTGCTTCCCTGGAGAGT